TTTCAGAAATAGCAGTGATACTGCTCCATAATGCCAAAAAGGGGTATTTGAAAATTGCATCCAGAGATTGGATGATGCCACTTTATCCCTTCTGTTTGAAAGGTGAATGTGTACACAATATGGCAATATAAACCACAATTAATGAACTCCAGAAAAAATACTTCTGAATCCTCCAATAAATCCAGCTTGGTAATAAACTCCTGAAACAAATCAGAAAACATGAGACATGCTCAAATAACACGAGGAGCCAAAGATGCAAGCTGTTTACATAAACCAGAAATGACATCTTAGCTTATATGATGTAATGTTTTTATACAAGCCTGGGAGACTAAACAGTTGTGATGGTGCCAAGTTTTTGGAAGGTGATGAAATTGATCAAAACTGGCCAAGACACCAGTTCCAGCTCTGATCCTGATGCCTAAATACTATCTTCAAATATATGAAGGCAGAAAAAATTTGTAAAAGCACATTAGTGAGATTGTATAGTTCAAGCCATCAATGGTTAGAAAATAACAGAATGAAGCATACTTGAATAACCTTACATTGGACACTTTGTTTACATTATGATATAGCCTTTAACTGCATGATTATGTACTAATTTTTCCACATAAATTCTGATTCATACAGCATACATAATGAATAGTGCGTACATAATGAACTATTTTTCTTGTAACAGCTAGTTGCTTTTGTTCAGTGCATAGTCCCAGGACTTATTTGCTACACATTATTCATATTCTACTCTGAAGAAAAACTTATGAATTTGATCATGGGTTTTTCCATGCACCTCATGGGTTTTCCAGGCTACTACAGCGTCTGTCTGATTAACAAACATTCATTAGTTTATTTTGAAAACATTGCTGTGAGGGGAGGAAGCCGTATGCTTCCATTTTACACATGGAAAACTGAGGCACAGGAAAATTACTTAATGTGCTTGATGTTCTCTTCAAAGCCTTTTTTCTAAAGTGCTACTCTCACAGAAGTGAGCAGCAGCCATTGAGTACTCCATGGTACCCTTCTCTGCTGGCAAATGAACAAGGAGAATTTGTCCTCTTGGGGTCGTGTGTGGCTTTGGAAGATGTCATGCACTGATGCACATTACCACTTCTCTGGCAGTCACACCAAAGCACGGCCTCCTCTGCCCTGCTCCTTGAACTTGTTCCTGTCCCTCTTTCTTCTTCTTCTCCAGCCACACTTCAAAAGTCCTGTTCTTCATTCCTAAGGTTGTCCTTTCAATCCCAGTCTCTCTGCTCAGCAAGTCCTGAGCCCTGTGGTCCAAACTGCCCAGTAACCCCTGTCTTGTACTGCCTCATTTTTCAAATTAATGTGGGTGAACATGCCCTCACTTTTTTTCCCCCAGCTTTCCTTCCCTGGTCATGCTGCCTGAACTTAGATTACCTTCCTTGCTCCTTTATCTTCTTTTCCCATTCCGGGTTATTTTGTCCAATTCCCATTTAACCTAAATCCCCATCTTGCCAGTCTTTCCTGTTCTTCTGACCAGCCACTGCCTCTAGTCTGTTACCATCTTCAGGGCCAGTTTTCTTGCCTGACTCCCTTGTCTGTGTGCCCCAAGTTTGTTTCTGTGCTCCTCTCCTTTCTGCATTTTGCCGGGTGTCATTTTGATAGGTGTCTTCTGCTTTCCCTCTGTCTATGCCATCGAAGGTCAGGGGAGGTCTTGCCCAGTGGGACCCACAGCCACAGTGCATTATTTGGAGGGGGAGCATGGCACAGCCACAGAGGAGCCTCGGGAAATTCAGCTGCTGACAGCCAAGACTGTTCTACCAAGCCTGTGAAAAGCTTGGTTTTTCCCAAGACTTACGGTTTTCTGACATCAGCTATATTTCCATAGCATTGGCATGCTCAGGACACAAAAGACATCCATTCATCTACTCAAGGTTTAATCCCCAGGTAAGGGTAATACAAATTTTATAAAAAGGTCACCAGAATGTTCAATGCTGATTAAACATTCATTCCTGGTCTAAGCTTACAGAAGTATGGCTACAATGTTCAAATATAGCAAAGAAAAATAACAAATTCTGCACTTTTTCCTGTACACAGAGTGAGTTCAAGAGAGTTCTGAGGAGCTACACGTTAGAGTGCACATCAGACTGAGCTGTGCTGTTAGACCTATGGAAAAGAACAAGAGCAAATAATGCAAGATGCCTTTGAAGATAACAGCTCATAACTAGCTTTATAATGTTGCATTCACTTTGAACCAAATCTTATCAGGAGTTTTTATCTAAAAAAAAAAATCCAAAGTGCATACATTTCTTAACTCTTATTTAATATTTTTAAGTTTTTAAATTGCTTTGATTCATTAAGAGAGATAACAATGCCTGCAAAAACAACACTGAAGGAAACCAGGAAAAAATCCAGAAAAAGATAAACTGCCATGATATTATTAGTTGCTTACTCCAATTTCTAGATCTGTGGCTCCTGTATATACCTTCACAGAAGGTATAACCCAATTTGCTGAATATAAAACATCTCAATATTAATCCTCTCATCTTAGAAAACATGAAAAATATTTTGCTATTGACATAAATTTTCCATTACTGCTTATGTTTCTACTGCAGCAGTGCTTGCAATTCCAACTAAGTGCATTGCAGAATTTGTCATAGTTGGATGTATAATGTTATAGTTTCACTGGCTGTCTTTACAGTTACTACAGCTTAAACACCAAGGACATTTTCAGAATATGAAAATCTAACATAATTATAATTTACTATGTATAATACATTGCAATTTATCACAAGACTTTGTTGAACCTCAGTGATGCCAATCACCTTAAGAACATCACCCTTTTCAACAAAGATACCCTAACATAAATTGCAAGTCTTTATAACACAAATGTACCCATGTACACGCTCAGGGATCTAAATGTATGGCGTGTACATTTGTATGCTTATCTCAAAGATGAAAGCCTTAACCTTTGCCTCCTTGTTTTGTGTTTCCATTAAAACAAGCTGTTTGATGCATAAGTGCCACCTGTAGGAAATATCGGAGTATGCTCAGGAGCAGCCCTGTGCCAGCTGAGGCACTGAGTTGTCTCCCTGCCATCCCCAATACAGGCAGCTCCTTTGGAAATTCAGCCATGTATTGAGGAACAGCCCTGCATGATGGCAGCTTGCTTGATGAAGGTTAGTTTGTAAAGCCACATCTACAGGAAAGTTGTTGTTTTCCAGGGAAGTCTAACCAAAAAGTAACTGAAACAAAAATACTACATTTTTCCATTTGCTTGTCTGTATGACATTTATCCATAGGAATCAAGCAGCCTTTTTCTATCGTATGTTGATCCAAATAGAGCTTGTCATGATTAACATGGACTACTTCACTGCAATTACTTAGGGTACATGGATATCAAAGATTGCATAATTTATCTATTTTTAATTATATCTACTATTAAAAATAATATCAATATGTGAAAAAGTGTTTTAACAAAAAAACAGTGTAATCTCCACCACTATGAACATAGTTCAGTTTCCTGTGGCAGTAAGGCATGAACGGATGGAAGTGCATATATATTAATTCCAACATGAAAAGAAAAAAAAAAATCAAAGAATTTCTAATGTAGCTATAAAAATAATACCGATTAAAAAAACTGATGAAATAATAACTGATAATTCCAATGGCTTATCATTTTTTTAATATTACAAGAAAAATAAAGAGCTTACAAAAATGCAGGTTCTTAAATGTTAGAGTCTGCCTAGGTCAAAAAAAAAGTGAAGTATTTAATCCCTATTTATACAAAATAACAGAGAACACTGGCCTGACTCCCGCTATAGCCATCAGCTTTAACAGTTATGCTCCAAAAATACACCCACCATAAGGAAATAGTTTCATTAATTCAACTGTACCAATCACTGATACAGTATCTCCATTCCTTGGTACATTTATAGGTAACACAAATTCCACACCCAAAGCACATTTTGTATCCAAGAATGAGTAGTGATTTTTAGGAATTCGATGTGAAACGACAAGATAGAAATTATCTGGCACATGAGAACAAACGATATGCCACTCTACGAAAAAAATATTAGTTCATTGTTTGACAGCCAGTGAGTGTGTTTAGTTTTGCCAGTCACAGCTGGGTACAAACGACATGTCTCTCCTCTCCCCCAGTCAGCCGTCAGCGTCGCTTCGAGCACGTACACTTGTTTTGGCTGTCCCTCGTCACCACCTGACATTTATCTGCTTGCTTCAACACAGGCAACCTTTAATACCCGCACCTGCTGCTGTGAACCCAAACTTCACCTGCCTGCGGGGAACAGACGGGCGGACGGACTGGCAGCCGCCGTCCCCGGGGCACTGCGGTCTCCCGCGGCGGTGCGGGCGCCGGGCCCGGCGGGAGCGCGGCTCGGAACCCCGGGCCCGGCGGCGCGGTGCTGTCCGCGGTGCTGAACCGCCTCCCTCCCGCTCTCCCCCCGTGCCCCATCTTGCGAGCACCACGCTCGGCCAGCTCGCCGCCTCACGGCTCTCACGAGGGACCGGCAACAAGTCTGGCCGCCTGCCCACGCCAGCCGGCACATCCGCCCGTCTACCTGAAGCACGGCAATTGCCCTGTAATACAAAGGACTTTGGAGACCGCGGGCAACGAAACCCCACCAGGGCCGCTACCCTATCCCTAGCTCCGGACTCTCCGCAGCTCGGGCTCTGGTTCCCGTTGCTGCCTCTCCCAGAACAAGCCCCAGCGTCCATTCCTGGCAGGGGCAGGGTTGTGCATCAGGCTTGCCCGAGGTAATCGCACCGCAACGCCAGGCACGGCTTAGGGAGCGGCGGTTTTCCCTCCCTTCCCTCCAGCAAGGTGCAAGCTTCTCTCCTTCTTTTGTTCTCAATGGCAGGAGGGTGGCGGCAGCGGCGGGAGGGGTGGCGAACACTTGCACCTACAAATTCATGGGGGATAACAAAGGACCATACGACGCTCGGATTAATTTGCATTAGCATCCATGAGGGCAGCAGCATCTTACGTCTGCAGGGATTAGCCGCGCCGAGCCCGGGCTTACCGTCCCTATCGCAGAGCTGAATCGCCTCCAGGCTGAGGTTCTTGATCACCTCCTCGCAGGGGCTCGTGGGGCTGCTCATGGTGTGCGCCAGGCGCGGAGCCTCCATCGCGCCCCTCGCCGCTGCCTGCTGTGGCTTGGCCGGGGGCTGGGGCTGGGGCTGGCCGGCTCCGGTGCAGAGCCGCGCGGCAGCGCTTCCCGGCGCCGCCCGGCTCGGCTGCGAGCGCTCGGCGGAGGAGGCGGGCGAGCAGCGGATTTGTCACCGCAGCGAGCCGGGGAGGGGGCAGCAGCGAGGCGGGCGGCCGGCGCGCCCCGGGATCCGCGTTTAAAGGGGCCGCGGCCGCCGCCTCGCAAGCGGGTCCCTTCCCCCTCCGCTCCTTATGTAACGGCAGCCGCGCTCCCACGGGAACCTCCCGGGCAGTTCGAGCCCTCCGGGTCGGGCCCTGCGAACGGCCGGTCCGCGTTCCAGCCGGCCTGCCTCGAGCAGGTTAGTCTCGAGGTTACTCCACAACCCGACAGAGTCCCCAAGGCAAAGCCATCCCCAAGCCACAGTTAGCGATTTCCTGTTCCCTGAGCACACAGCCCACCACGACCGCTGTGTGCAAATCACACACAACTGCAAGGGCTCTGCTGGCCACTCTGATCCTTCCTAATTATGCAAGAATTTGCAGAAAGAAACATTAGCCAGTTTTAGATTGATAAACCTAGAAAAGCTGGCAGAAGGTTATTGATTGCAAGAGAGGGTATGGGAATTTCTGATAGCCATTTCTGGCTATCTGCACTGCACGCTTAACACCTGCTCTTTTTGTGGGAAGGAGAAATAATCCACATGGTAGTGGTACCATTCCTATCAAGCTTTTTTGAAAAGTACTTCTTTATCAGTTCCCAGCTTCAGGAACAACAACAGGGCCAGAAAAGGAGAATTTTTAAAAAAGTAATAGGATAAGAAATTAAAGTTTTGTAGCACTGTACCATCATCAGGTGTGACAGCTCAGCTCCCTGCCCACCACAGGGCTGCAGGCTGGACAAAGGAGCAGCCTCTGGGCCTCGGCCTGCAGGAGTGCACTGCTCTCTCAGGGCATGGACTGACTTTGGATCAAGCTCAGCATGCTGGGATGGGACCACTGGTTTCTAGACAAAGTGGTTTGAGCCCATTTCCTACCACACATTACAACAAGCATTCCTGGCACAGATTTGTTGTTTCACTGAAATAAAATTGACACTGTTTAGCCATTGATCATGAGACATCCACACTGGTTGCTTTGAGAAACAGCAGTTCATTGCATGCAGGCTCCCATGAAGAATGAGACTGTGATGTTTCTTGGTCAGCATTGCATGAAAGGAAGTCCAGAGAGTCTCTAAAGCTCCCATTTCTCTTCCTGCAGTCCCAAGACCCCCCAGTGTCCTCCCTCACTGATCTGGCACAGTAGCAAACCCCATGCTCAGCTATATGTCTGTCATTCCACTAACACTGGACTTTGGGATCCTTCCATTCTTTATGATGGTTTCCAGGGACGCTAATCTCAGAAAATGAACTCTGGTGTTGCCTTTCATGAACCCACGGCCAAGTGCTGCAGCCTAGAAAGAAGGAATAGGTTTTAGGTGCTTGGATTCATCTGACACCTTCAAAAATCTGTAGTACATCCTGGGGAGAAAGAGCAATGCTGAGCACCCTTCTGGGACTGTGTGCTCTTTACACACACATCCCCCCCTGCCATTCTTTCTTGTTAATTTTTTTTTTTTTTCCTCTCTTCTCTTTATTTCTCTGATGTTTTTCATCACGATGGAAAACGTGTGCAGAGGGGTCAGGCAGAGGAGAAATGGAATGAGTGGGAAGGGAACCTAAAGGAAGAGAAAATGAAAAGGAAGTAATAACAGGAAGGGAGAGTGTGAGTCAATGGGGAGGTGGGAAGGGAGAGGAATATATGAATGAAGCACAGACAGAATGAGGACAAATATAGATTCAGAAAGGGAAGAAATTAAAGTGGGTGAGACTGCATTCATCAGGTTTTAATTTTGTCTCTGACAAGCATTAATTCTCTGAGCTGAATCAAAACCTTTCTCCTTGATATTGCAACTGTTCTTAGCACACAGGCATCTCCTACGTAAGGCTGGAAAATTTCTTTCCCTGAAGATGGTGTATTTAGTCTCTCAGCCTTATGTTCCACATCCATTCCCTTCCACAATGTGGCAGACACTTCAGCAGCTCACACAATCTTGCTACTTCTTTGCTATAACATTATATAAAGTCCATTTGAAACAGACACTGTTCTTGAATACTGAGAGAATTCCCAATTTATTCTCTCTGCCTCTATTTTATACACCTTTCTCTCCTCTACTTCTTATTCTATGCAGCTAAAATAAGGTTTTTAAGAACAGATGGATTTTGCATAGCTCTTTGAAAGCAGACAGCTTTGAGGGTGTTCCCATTCCTCAAAGGCCTCTCATTTCTCAGCTACCTTGTAGCAATAACCCCTGTCTGAGCTCTATCTATTTCTTTCTCCACACCATTACAATTTTTTAAAGAAAAGATTGATTAACTATCCAAATACCAGCAGACTTCAGTGTAAGTGTAGAGCAGAGAAACCTTTTACATAGCTCTGCTTTTCTAAAGCTAGACCTGCCTGAGACAGTATTTTGCAGAGTCACACTTCAGGCTGCGTGCTTCCTTCAGCCTATCACCACTCCCATCACCTGGGCAAGGGATTAACATTTTTTTAAAGCTCAAATTCCTCCCAAATGTGACTCCATGCAATCACTTGGCAATGAATTTAGTCCTAGGTATTTCAGTCCCAGAGCACACAATGCTCTCATGGTGTTTTTTTCACCTGGGAGAACTATACTCTGCTTGTCTTAACAAGGAATATCATTGTCTGAGGCACAAGTTAGGTTTGTGCTAAAGGATGACAGTCTCAGCATATAATCAGAAAGTTTATTCTGTGACAGATTATCCCTGACAGTGTTTAGCAGAAAATGTCACATATCACAAATATGGGTCAACATTATGTAATGGAAAGTCTGCCAGTGGCAGCACATTAGAGACAGCAGAGGGTCATGTGCTTAGAACTGCAAAAGCTTGCAAAGAATTTAGCACAACAGCAACCTCTCAGACTTCCAACCTTTAGATAAACAGAATCTTACCAACTTCTGTAATTCAACAACATGGCTGTTATTACAGTAACCTCGCACAAGGAGAGCGAAGCAGCATTTTCTAGCGTGAGGCACACACCTGGAAATGTGAGCTGTGACACACAGCTCTTGCCTGGCGAGGTTCAACAATCTCAGCTCTCCTGCCTCAGCCTGGCATTCACAGTGCCCCAGGTAGGTCAGCAAGATCTTGCTGCAGGGCTACCACTCTACAGCAGAAAGGCAGAGAGGCTGCCAGCCAGTTGGAGAGGTGTGTGGCTTCTTTCCTAAAAGGCACAACCTCATTCATACAATTAAAGAAAGGGGAAAAGGGATTCCTGTGTATTCCTTTCATGCTCCCTTCACATGATTACGAAGTTCAGCCCTACCTGTGCTGCACTCTGTTTTGGGAAAACTGCTGAGAATTAGCAGCAGAGCACAGCACAGAGCTGGGCAACCCCATTCTCACTATTTGAAAACTCTTTTGTATTTCATTGTAGCAGGTTTTTATCTGCAAGTTATAAAATAAACCCACTTTCTCAGACCTCAGCAAGACTCATAGTTCCAGCTCTGCCTTCCCACTTGGGAATAAAAAATGACTTGTGTTATTGCTCAGTGGACTGTGCAAGCAGAAGGCAAAAAGGCTACAGACATGGTATTCAGGAAAGAAAAAAACAGGGAGGAATTAAAGACAGCATTTTGGGATTTTTTTACTCCTATTAATATGTCACTTTTGAGGAAAAGAGCAAAATATTAAAGGACAGATAGAAATAAGGATGAAAATCAGTATTGAGGGTCAGTCCTAAAAGCTGCACTCACTAAACTTAGCAGCTAATCCCTGAAGTTTCATGGAAATAAATTCTTTGCATTTTTGCAGTCATTCTGTGTCTTTAATGGACGTGTCAACTGTTTCGAGCGTGCAAAGGTACACACTTGAAAAAAGATTGTGTTCAAAATATTATTGAAGCACCATAGAACTGAAGTAAAATCCACAGACTAGTGACAGAAAGACAAAAAACCCACCACAAAACTGAAGACCCTAAATGAAAGCCATGACTCTGTAGAATTAATGTGTGGTGTGACACCTCATCCTACTGAGACTGACGTTGATGTATGACAATTCAGAGCACTGGGTACAGTATCTAACCAGGAACCTCTAGGTTTTTTCTCAGATAACAAAGCAAGAACCTCCTTAAGTGCTCAAACAATGAGGATGATGGCAGAGGTCCCTTTTATACTCTAGGAAAATGCAAGGCAGAGCAGCAGTGCTTATTCTTGGCTCTAGAGTGAGTCTCTCTCCCTCTTTCTGCAAAGGTAGCACCCATGTCCAGGCACCCTGACCCAAATCCAGCAGTGAGGCTCCAGATCTCCTGGAAATGTCTCTGCCTGCTGTTTCCTGCTTCAGCATTGTCTGAGATGTTGTGAAGCCTCACTACTTCTAGGAACTCTCCGGTGAGGTGCATGCAGTGGCTCATACATCTCAAAGTGTCTTTTCCCTGTTCAGAAGGCTTCATTGCAGCAACTGAATTCAGTTTATGCATTCAGACTTCTCTTGCAAGGCCCTAAAGCATACTTTGAAACATCAAAGGTACAATTCCGAGGCAATCTTGTGATTTCTGGTTCCAGGGAACCTACTCATGAATCTGGAAAAATGGCTTCAGTGCAGGCAAAACTAGTCTACAACTTGCATAACAAGACAATCAGTCCATGAAAAAGACAACCAAGGGCATATAAAATAGAAATTCACTAAAGCACAAGTGGTACAAATGGGATAGCCAGAGTCTGACTCTGCCAAGTCTCCCAATACAGGAGTTAGAGGGTGCAGTTAATAGCAATAGCTTCAGAGCAAACAAAAGGACGTGGTCTTCCTGCAATGAAGGTTACTGTTGTAAGACTAAAGGACAGTGCCAGTGCTAGAAAGTTTTGTTCATTCAAGGGAAGGCTGGAAAAGTTCATGCAAAAGGAATTGTTTAGAGTTACTAAAACCACAAGTGACCGAGCTGAGAGTGACTGACCCGTAAAAAAACTAATAGAGTCCAGGGAAGAGTTACTGAAGACTGATATGTGTGCCTGTCATGCCCTTCATCTTCTGCAAATACCCTTTTTCAGCCACTGCTAAAGGGACTGTACAGTCCTGCCTAAGTCCTT